AACAAGTCAATAAGCATAGGCTTATCGGGTTGTCAAGACACTGCTCGACTAGTCGCTTCCTCCCCCCCCCCCTTGCTGCCTCTTCTATAGAGGCAGCAAGGTGGGGGCAGCAGGAGCCAGTGCTGGCAGGAGCCAGCTTAAAAGTCAGTTCCCCCCCAGCACTGTCTCCAGAGGGAAATAGAGCGAGCGGGGACTGAAACCAGTCCCTGCTCACGCTGTGTCCTGATTGCTGTGCCTCTGCCTTTGAAATGTAGCAAGAGCCCTGGAGGGCACAGCAGTCAGGACCCGGCGCAAGGGAAGACTGCTTGAATCCCTGCTCACCCCGGGTTGCCCACTGCACCCTCTGCCTTTTAAACGTAGCAAGAGCTCCATGGAGCTCTTGGTACATTTCAAAGGCAGAGGTGCAGCCGGGATAGTGAGCGCCCCCCACCCTTATCGACTAATCAAGTAGTCAAAGAAAATTCTATCAGCTACTCAATTAGCTGATTAATCGACATTTAACATCCCTGACTGAGTATGTACACAGCATGCAAGAACAATGAAGATTTATGGAAAAACTAGTCCTGTTTCTTCAATTATGGTGCTTTTAATTTAAAAATAAAATTATTTGGTGTCCATAATTTTTTTTAAAGTATAATATAATTTTTAAGATAAATTAACTAGCACACTTTTTACACATAAAGAAATCTCTTCAAAGCATTCCATACTTTATTTCTGAAAATTAATTTTTCATATATTGTACAATATTTACATTCCTAAATGCATATGTACTTAATAAAAATTGGAGAATTCTGAAAGTACAGCGCAATCATTCTAATCCATGTGCTCCATACCCAAATGTGAATATTCTGAATGTATTTGATGGCATCTCCCTAATAAGGATAATAAAATGTGATTTTTACCTTCAGTGAAGTCGCACTTAGTTGGTGTGGATTAGTTTTCATGCCTACTCTTCCCTCCCTCCCCTCGCCCCCTCTCCTCCGCCACACCAAAAAAAGCTCAAGGTACTGTCTGATCAAATGTTAGACCTCCTTGCCAATGCAAGATACACACAGATCCCTTTTGGTACACACAGTAAATAAATTTTATGAACATAAGTGAATTTCATAGCATGAACATTTTGCAGGCTGGTTCATCAGATTTAGACAGGGAAGTTGTACTTTTTTGAAAAACTGATTATTCTTATTAAAGCTATGCAACAATACAGGAAAGGACTTTTCTTCTCTATAGTTGATAACCTAGCTATCTGTAAAAATGTATTTTGAAAGGAGACCTTGAGAAATCAAATGATGATATTAGAAATAAATATCTGGAGGCCTACTGGAAGAAGAAGGAAGTTAATTTTAGTAACATTAGAAAATAACACACTTGTCAGCTGTGGATAGGACGGCAAAGGAACCAAAAATAATAAAAACAAGCACATAATTATAATTACTTTGTGCAGCAAAGTAATTACAAAGCAGCCAACTAGGAAAATAATTGATTTTAGCCTTCCCTATTTATTAATGCTTTTTTCTTGAAACTTCTGAGTAGAACGTTTCAGAATATTACTCTGCACCATTCATACATCATTAAAACTAGTAAGCTAACTGGCAAAATTCATTTTGTGTGAACCTATGTCAATAAAATTTGGGTATTTGAGAGCACATGAAGATTTATATTGAATCATGTGATTTCCTGGAGCTGAGTCTTAGTAGGTGAAAGTTAGTGACAGTAGTGAATGCAGTGGACTAATATAATTAAACTTGAGCTAACCAACGTGACAGGTGTTGCGCAAGCACTGCCATACAGCTCAGGAATTTCATCTCTCTCCTGACCTGCAAAGCTCTGACCAAAACAAATTGGAATGACTATCAGTCATGCTAGTATGCAGAATGGGTTTCTGCAGTCTAAATATTAGGGATGTCAACATGCAGTTGACTAAAAGATTAACCGATAAGCCTGGGTTTATCAGTTAATCCTATCAACTACACACACTCTTCCCCCCATCCCCGCCCCTGCTGCCCCTGTATGAAGAGGGAGGCAACAAAGCAAATTATGCCCGCTGTCTGATGTCAGAATTTGCTATGATAAAAACAAAACCCTGTTTCTTATATTCTAGAAACAGATAAGCCTTTACGTACTAGGGGCTGAAGCAGGGCAATAATTTTTGATGGGGGACAACTCTAAGAATTTGGTAAGTGATCAAGGGCCACATTCTTCCATGATATTAATGGAGGAGATGCTGAGTCTGGGTTGAAGGCTGGATGCAGAGGAAGCTTGGGGCAAGGGATTGGGGTGCAGGAGAGGGTGTGGGATCTGGGGAGGAGTTTTGGAGAAGGGGGTTGTGATTGAGGCAGGGGATTGGGGTTCAGGATATGGGAGGGGGCATGGGTTCAGAAGGGAGACAGGGGGTTACATGGGGTAGGGGACAGGATGGGGTGGGTAAGGGTTGCGTATGGGGGGAGAGGTGGGAGGGCTGGGTGCCAGAGGCAGGTTCTGGCCAACAGATGTTTACCTAGGTGACTACTGGCCAATAGTGCAGCAGGTTCCTCAGCACGCTCCCTGCCTCCATGCCCCCACAGGCCATTCAGAAAAGCTTGCTATGGAGCCATGTGCATCTGTAACAGCTGCGAGATTGAAGGGAGGAAGGGGTACTTTGCATGTTTGCCTGCAGAGATTATTTTGGGGGCAGGACAGCGTATGCAGCTTCTCCCCCGAGGTTGCAGCTGTTCACAGGCGCACATGGCCCCGCAACTAGCTTTTCTCAACAGTGGCTGGAGGTGTGAGGTAGGCAGGGAGTCAGATTGGTGGGCCATTTTTAAAGTTTGCTTTCTATTATACTAAACTCACTTCCCACTTACACTAAACTCTAAAATACTACCCCTTGCACACAATGATGTGTGAATGAGTTTAAGTGCTTAATGGCCAGAAGACAATTTTTGTCCAAAATTGAATTAATCAGAAATTATGAGATGGGATGGGGAAATTAAGATTTCAAAACTCGTGTATCTGTATTCGGTGGGGTGCTTTTTGTGGATTTATGTATCTTTGTTTTTTTGGCCATAGCTCAGAAAAGCTTTACAAAATATTCAGGTGAGTTTTGCTAGAAAAATTTGGTAATACCTAGTCTGGGATTTTTAAAGGTACTGAAGATCAATGGGTGGCAAACTCCCTTAATCCCTTTGAAAAGCTCAGCACTTATGTGCAAGTCTTCTGCTCCCCCTCTCCCTCCCTTAGTACCCTACTAGCAAATTAAGAATGCCATAATAAACCATTGGGCTCTGGCAGGCTGAAAAAGAGCGCCATGTGACTGGTGGATACCTAGACTTCCATTTTGAAAAAAAAACACCATTTTTTCATAGCCCTTTTCCTTGGGAACATGGTCTTCAGAATATAAACAAACAGGATGTAATCACAGCCTGTCTCCCACCAGCGGCAGCCGGAGCACTTAGCTCAGTTTCCTGTTTCTGATATATTCTGTTCTGTGTCCTACAAACAGGACAGGCACACGTGAAATTTTTATTTCTGGTATGTTTCTACTATTCTTGGATTGTTTGGTTAAGCCTGCAGCAGAAACCATCCATAATAACTCTTCATTCCTCTCTGAGAAAATGAAGACTAACTTAGAGTTGATGTATCTTGAAGGCATACACAGGTACTGAGAAAAATTCAAGAAAGAAGTTCCTTCTTCAGCTACCTATGTAGAAGATACTGGGCTAAATGGCCCACTGGCTTGAACCAATGTTGCCATTCTTATTCTCCCTCTACAGTCTCACTATACCTGAATCAGACACCAGGCTCTTCTCAATGGAGTTCCCTTAGGGAGCGGGAAATGAATGTTTCTGTAAATATGCAGTTTGGAAAATCTAACTCTTCCCTTGCATGGGACACGTGGTGCTAAAACATCAAAGCTCCTTGTGAAAAAGGGTGAGGGAGCACCACAAGTGCTGGCTACCAGTGCCCCATGTGCAACAGGATCTTTACATCTTGCTATGCAGTGGGAGGATCTTGGTACATTCACTCATTCCCCCTTTGCTTCCTTCACTGACAATTGACATGCAACAGAATTAATACTTCTGAGTGAATTACAATGATGTCTTCCTCTGCAGAATGTTCTGCAGAAATAACATAAGTCAGTCTGAGCAAGGCTTAAAAAGGGAAAGACGCTGAGCTCAGAAAAAAGATGGAGAGCCATAAAAATCTATGACTTCATAAATTCCATTACCAAACTATTTACTATGTCCACAAGTCTGGGGTGAGTAGAAAGCTTTATGAAATCCAAAAGGAAACCTGATATTGAGAATGGAGAGCAGTGAGGAACTTATTTGTGATTGGCTGGAGAGCAAGGTTCCACAACATTTTTTGAATTTGTACCTACCTGTACCAGTGAGGCTTCATTTGACTGGAAATATTATAAGATTGTGACACATGAAATCTTTGTATTTGAATGCTTCCTTTTTCTTCACTGGATTAGATTTATGGTTTCTCTTAAAAACCTTATTGTGTCTGAAAAAATATTCCAGACAAGGATTCACCCTTAAAATAGAGAATCCCTAGTTAGATATGAAACAAATGTATGCATAAAAATCTTCCAGTTGAAGATTTTTCTACTCCTGTCTCTTAAACAAGTAAGCAAACTATTTAATGCTTGGGGATAAGAAAGGCAATAAAAAGAATAAAGTATTGGAAAGGTGCACTGGTGAGTTTCCAAACAAATTCTGGAATTCTTTTTTGCTTCCCCTAATAGACTAAAGTTGTGAATATTGAAACAGAACAACCAATCTATACAGAAAGTGTTGTGTTGTACAGGGAGATTGTACATGAAAATCTCAGAAGTGAGTCCACAGTTTTGCTTTTGTAACCTTGAGTTTGAACCAAACTGTTTTAATTTTGTCATAAGATACTAAGATTTTGTCTGCCCTTGTGTAGTCTGCTAGGGAAGTTTCTATCTATTTTTATCCTGCACTACCAGTGGCTGGAGGAAGACTGCTGCTTTCCTCTTGTAGCTACAACATACACGGCTAAGCAGTGAACTCAGTGTAATCAGCTGGCTAAGACTGAAAGGCAACTTTTTACTTTATTAGGGAAAAAGCATGCTTTGTAGAGGATTCCAACAGAATTATTCAGAAGGTGATAACAGAGTGTGAGAAGACCATACCCATGGCAGGCCCAAATGTCAGCAAGAAGTCAGATTTTAATTGCATGGAGTGACAGCTGTCCTCACGTTAAAGTGAATGAGACAAGGGAATAATCACTGGACAGTCTGAATGAAAAAGAGCAAGGACACTGACAGAATTTCAGGTTTTCATTTGATATTTCAGTTTAAAAATGAGAAATCTAAACAATTCTTGGAGAATGGACTAATTATGGATACAGTGAATAGTAATTTTATCAGGAAATATTTAATCTGCTGCAACGGGTTTTGAGAGTTAAAAGAATGAATGTGGACAGTGATGGTATGGATGACATCATCAGTGAAGTATCTCTATTGGAGATGGAGGGGAATTATAGAAAGGTAAGAGACAAAAAAGAAGCTTGTCTTCTAACAATTGCTCTGCACGAGATAGTTTCTGCACAAGAGAAGGAGTTGAAATCTTAAGAGTTGGCTAATACTGTTCACAGGACTATATGCTACAGTTCATCCAGATATTCAAATATTTCTTCATTGTTACTTTTATCTTTATTTTCTAAAAGAGTGAAAAATTCTGTTGCATTTAACACACACCTATTTTTTTCATTAAAATGTTGTTCAGTTTTTGCTGTACTACCATGTTCTTTAGAACTTCTTATACTCTGCATTTAGTTGTCAAAACTGTAATTTAAGAATTAATTCAGAAATATTGTGGTCCTCTAGTTTTCAGTGTAAATTGAAGTGCATGTTAAGAAATGAAAAATGTTACTCTACATTTTAATTGTATTTGTACTTTACTGGAAATACATCTTAAAGTGAATGATGCAAAAACAAGTGTTCTATGGGTACAAGATTTTCATCAATATTTTAACAGCCTTTGTCCCTTTAAGAATAAAGTATGCCTTGTATAGTTTTGGAACTTTAAATATAGTAATTGTCTACATCTGGTAATGACAGACCTAAGGCAAAAATAGCTTCAGTTGCATGCTTAAAGTCCTGACATTAACTGCAAGTATAGGCTTGTCCCTACAGAGCCAGGATGTTATGCAACTTCTCACTCGTCCCTCCCAAACCTCCTCCCAAGGGAACAAGTGCTGCTCTAAACTGTTTCATATTATGTAGGAGTATTATTCCATAACAGACTAACCATCTTAAACTCTCACTAACTATAGCACCTGCCAACTACCTGACTTAGGTGAATCTTTATTTAGGGCATTGCCATGCTACAGAAGCATTTAAAGCAGTGGTCCCCAACCTATAGAGGCTCCCAGGTGCCTGGGGGCGGGGTCACGCATGCGCCGGGCACCCGGGGGATGGGGCCACGCATGCGCCGGGCACCCAGGGGCGGGGCTGTGCGTCCTGGGGC